AAAGTGGAAGAATGGGACCGTGTGGCCTTCACCTCACTTCACCTTCCTCCTTGGTGCCATGGCAACACAAATCACTGGATCTCCATCCCTTCCTGTGTTTGTTCCAGGCACCACGTGTTAAGAAAATGTGTATTTTGCAGATTTTTCACTGTTTTGCTTTCCCCACACTTTCAACAGATCTAATCTCTGATGTTCTAGAAGGAAATAAGATTTTTCAATCGTTTTTTTTTTTTTCTGGCACCTGGCATCAGGCATGTCTTGAAAGTGGATAAAAAACAATTGAGCAAGGTGAAGAAATGAACTAGGTATTTGACTTCTTCACATAACAGGGCAAATTTTCTTGAGTATGGCCAGAAAATAAAATATTTTACAGGAAGTTCTTATTGTTCTAACATTTCTTAAGATGAGCCCAGTCTTAAACATAAATTCAGCAGGGATTTCAAGGTTTGAATTTTAGATTAAAGCTCATAAAAGTGGAATTAGGTGTGGCTTAAGCATGTAAATCCCTGTTTTGGCATATAGTCCTCTTTCGCTGTCTATGAAAAACGGCTCAGATTTCTAAAAAAGTCTGAGTGAATTAGGTAAGAAATGGAAATTAATTCCAACCTTCTAATACGATACTACTTCTCTAAAATCTCAGAATAATTCTCTAATGGTGCCTTTTTTCTTTATTTGAGTTGTATTTTAACTGGTAATGTTAAGTAAAAGGCAAAGGAGATTGATGTAAACAAGGTTCCAATTCCGTTTCCTATTTTCAACATTGTTGGTATCAAAACCTGTACTTGAAGAGGAAATAAAATTGTCTTTTCCTCAACAAGCAGAGGCTACCAAGATGAAAGATTATTCTATCTCCTGAGATATCTATAGCCCTGTGTGAAAGCGTAAGAGTTGTTCTGACTCACCTGGATTGCAGAACCTGTAAGACATATACACAGTAATTTTACCAGCTCCCACACACTAGCACTCATGAACCTTAGCACATTAAAACCAGTAAAATCTAGCTGTTATTGAAATAAAACTGTCACCTGAAGCAATATATTGCTTGGAGAAATTTGTCTTAATAACAAAGAAAAAAGGTAAGAAATGTCATAGGAATTGTTAGTAGCTGCTGCCTCCAAAACCAAAGTCTGCTTCTTTATACCTTATTACATAAATGCACCTGTAATCCCCAGAGAACTAATCTGCAGACACTTTGGAAAGTGCATGCCAGTACATACAGGCTGAAAACACTCTGGAGCCTTTATGCAAAATTATAATTGTAGTAGTGAGGGGTTTTCTTTTTTTTAAAATTTTCACTCAGCATATCTAAGGGCCCGAATATTACCAAAAAGTGTCCCTTCTGGGGCAAGGTGAGGAGCACAAACCCATCAATCTCTTCCTCCGATTTGGTATCAGATTATCATTCCTCCGATTTAGATAAATCTCAGGGTAGTATTTACCTAAGTATATATGTGCGAAAAGTGAGACTGTGGTCATTTATTGAGTAATGACACAGCACTTTCCCTAGTGCAAGCTGTGCACTGGTTTTGTGGGAAAAGAGGAGGAATGAGAGGTAAGGTCTGCAGAGTTCTGCAAAACAGTCCTTGAGAGAAGGGGAAGAGCAGGAGGTAAATCTGCATAGTCAAGTTAAATGTCCCTTGAGAAAAGTGGAAGAATGGGACCGTGTGGCCTTCACCTCACTTCACCTTCCTCCTTGGTGCCATGGCAACACAAATCACTGGATCTCCATCCC